TAAGAAAAAAAGAAGGAAAAAAAAAAAACCCATAAAAATCAAGGCAGCACTGGGAGTCTGTTATGCAGAGACTAATCCCATTTCCTCTTCCCTTTCCGCCGTTGCTGGTCCATGCCCACCTCCATGGGGCTCCTGAGGACACTGCCTGCCCCCAGAGCCAGCAGGGCAGCAGCAAATGCAGCGGTCGAGGGCACCGTGCACAGCCACAGCCCTTGGCAATGCCCCTGAACCTGCACCCACCTCCTCCTTCCCAGATTACTGGGGAGGAAAAAGCAGGGAAGCGCCAGAGCGGGCAGATAATAACCTCGGAGAAAACACTTGAAGGCAGTCGTAAAACAATAGGGAAGCGATTAACTCCGAGGATCCTTCATCCGGTCTCCAGCGAAGACACAAACCTTGTTTATCCAGGCGAGACGCCCAGCCAAAGGGCGAGCAGTAAATGGGATGCGGCGGCTCTCCGGGGCGGAAAGGGGCCGTCGCCAGGACGGGCTGGCAGTGGTGAAGCAGGAGGCTGTTCCATGCTGCAGAACACGGTCTGTGCCAGGACGGGCGGGTAGACCTGCTCTCCCCAGCGCCCACCGCCAACAGCCCTGGGGCAATGCGGACTTTGGCAAAGAGTGGGGGACAACTGCATCTCCAGTGCCCCCAGGGATGAGGGATGGCTGCGATTTGGGAGGCTAAGGAATAGTTCTTGATCTGGCCACAACAGAGCCCAGAAGGATTTCGAGAACAGCAACTAAAGGCCTTGAAGTGTTATGCAATGGGCTGGGACAGCTGCTTTCAAAGACTTTCACTCCGACAACAAGAAATGTTGCTTCAGCCCGAGCTAAAGAGCAGCCACGCACCCTCCCACACATGTTGGACACGCTACGATCCCTCCACACTCTCATGAACATGAGATGTCCATGCTATGAGCCATTCATACCAGCCCAGCATCGCAGTGCCCAAACCAAACCAGGACCCAGCCAGCATCCTGCCCTCCTGCACCAGATCCCTCATTTCACAAGAAAAAAAATGGGGCAGAGAGATAGGAAATACACTGAGATAAACCATCCATGCATCAGGGACACTCATAGGTGACAGCCCAGAGTGGGGCAAGAGCAGAGGCAAAGGGAGGTGCACCGTGACCACTGGCTTGGGAGCAAGAGCCTCCATGGCCACCAGCCTGTCCTCGCTCAGCCCCTCATAAAAACACATGCCAGGGCATGACCTGTTGGGACAGATTGCAAATAGCGCATCCCTACACAGATCTGGGGAATTCCATGGAGGAATAAGCAAGAATCTGAATGTAGCTTTTTGCTTGACAGATATTGAGGGAAGAGCCTGTGCTTCTACCAGCCTGACTTGGTGAAGTAAGCCCAAAGAAAGTCTGCATAGAAGGACTACTGTGTGTATATATATATATAAGTATATAAAAAGGACCAAAGAGTTGCCACAGTCTTGTTTTGTATATTCAAAAACTGAAAAGCTTGGATGCTGATCCGCTGTTTACCTGGATCTCACTGGTCCGCAGACAGCACTGGACGATGCCCAAGGAAGACCGCACTTGGGACATTTCCTCTATTTCCTGGTCCAGGCTGAAAATACTGTGAGAAAAATGATTCCCAGAAGCTAACAGAGCTATAATCCCTGCCCTCGAGCCAACGGAAAACAAGAGTCAGGAAAAACAGCTTAGTGGCGTTTCTCAAGAGCGAAGAAAAGCCGATCTGGTTTCTTTTAACCTGGATTCCTACGGAAACCCGGAGTGTGGCCACCCTAGCCACCTCTCTGCTCGCAGCCCAAGTGGTTGGGAAGCATTTGCCCAACTCTGGCAAAACCCACACGAGGATCAGCCGTCTCCCAAGACATCCAACATCGCGCGTGGTCCTTTCATGAGACCCGCTGGCACCTCCAACCCAATCCCGGTCCTTCCGTCAGAGCCAAGAGCTTCCTGGCTGGCAGCGATGCCCCGGAGGCGCCAAAGGGCCCCGTTCTGCCCAACGTGCCCCATCCAGGACCCATGGGGATGTTTCCACACGCCTTTCCCGACTTGGGTCCCCCCAAGTCCCTTTGCTCTCGGGGGGCCCCACGGCCGGGGCCGAAGGGTGCCGGAGAGTCACGTTACCCCCTCGATTCCGGGAAATGCGCTCCAGCTTTTAACGAGCTTTTTTTTTTTTTTCCTTCTCTCTCTGTGCCGATTTCTACAGCCAAACTAATAAAAACAGAAAGTAATAAGAAATCCCAGCAGAAGGGAGGCATGGGGGAGGAGGAAAGGGAAGATACCACTCACTCGAACCTATCCTAAATAGCAGATAATGAGCTACATCGATCCCAGAAAGAACAGCACGGGTATATGCAATTATTAGGAATGCACACTTTAAGAGCATTTGCCAAAAATGCCTGCTTTTATTAAAAAGGAATGGTTTCACAAAGGCCCAACTGTAAGAAAGGTTGTAATTTGCCCAAATAAAACTTAATTTGATCCATGAAATAGCTGTGGTTTATTGTGTAATATATGTGCTATGTGTTTTAATTTAATAGAATCCAATATAATTGCAAGCCAGTGGAGTTTCAGAGCAATTTTGGGCTGTTCCCACAGTGCATACACTACAGATGCTACTTTGTGCATTGCACCAGCACATTCGTAAGTCAGGAATATAGGCAGGCTTATCCACGAAGCAGCAAGAAATGCTTCTTCACCAGGAGGAAAATAAGGCCTTGGAGGAAAGCAAAATAAGTTATTGATAGGAAACAGGGCTGGGATGCTCCACTGGTGAATGCCTCTCCCGGAGGTTTTCCTGGATCCCTACAAAAGCTCTGCCCTAAACCCAGCCCGGGTGCTCAGATGCCAGCAGAGCTACCGTCCAGGCCATTCACATTTGAGCAAAAGGCTCAAAATGCCCAAGAAACACATAGTTGCAACCAGTGCCCACTTAGCACAGCCCCCAGTACCCTCACTTCCAACTTGATCCCCAAGGATATTGATCCACATAAAGATTATCCAGGCTCTGTTGCTTTGTTAAGAGTGCTAATACATATCCCACGCGAAGAACGTCAGACTTTTCATTATTTACCAAGTCAAATAGCGTCATACAACGTGCTGAGGCAGAAACCTCTAATTCATTCTCATATTCCGAAGTGATTTTTTTTTCCTTGCCAGACTGTGTGCATTGGGGGTGGGGAGGGAATATTCAGCATTCAATTATGACTTGAGAATGTCCCCTGGAATTTTTACTGCAGAGATAAAACCCTGAAAAAGAGGATTACAGGCTAAAGACTGACAGCCCCTGCGGAATCGTGTCCAAAGCTATGCCACAAAGCTTTTTAGCTTTATTTTTAACTTCACCTCTTTAAGCACAGGTTTTGTTCTGACTTCATTAAAAGGGGATTCGGCAAAGTGGCTTGTGGCCCTTCATCTCAGCTGCAAACCCGAGCTTGGAGCTTTGCAAGGCTGCAGTGAGGCCTTTGCTAGCCTAAAAGCTTCTTCATAGTGTCCTTGAAAATGATTAGACTCAACTATTCAAGTAGAGAAAATGAGGTGGAAGAGAAGACTTGATGTCTCCTTTCACAGCTTCTTCATAAAATCTTTTCTATTTCCCTTAAAGCCTCACTGTCAACTGAAATAAAACTCTAGATTTATTCTAGGGAAAGTGGATGAGGAATAAAAGAAAAGAAACAAGAAAAATCAAGCAAAATTGGCAGTTGCAAAATAGGAGCCTGAAAGTTAACCCTCAAGCTTCAGCCGTGGGAAATCCTTTTTGGGGGTATGAGCCCCTGAACAAAATGCAACCCATAGAGAAAATGCTGGGAGTAGATTAAGGCTCATCAATCCATCCTTCTTACCATGCTGAGAAGTTTCCATGGGGTTACCAGGAGAGACGGGCTGGCCTTGCGTCTTCCACGTCTCCGCCTGGACTTGCACGCTGCAGTCACCCAGGATGACACCTTCCTGTCCGTGTCCTTTCAGCAAGAGACCTCAAAAGACACTAACAGAGCTTAAAAGAGAGACTGAAATACATTAAAGTTCCCCTTGTGCTCTTCGTGTGTGCCTTGCCCTTGGCCACGTAGTTTTTAAACACTAAATATGAAGCAGCAAGGAGGGCTTGGAATTACTTGCAGCAGTACAAAATCCCAAGGGAATATCCGCCCTTGGCCCTCTGTCTTTGGAAAGCAGGAGGGCACGGGAGGACGGACGGCTCGGAATAGACAGACATCCCTCTCCGGGTCGGACTCCAAAGCCTTTGGATGGTGGGGGAAAGTGTCAGGAAAAGAGGAGTGGAGCAAAGCACGGAGCAGCGACAGGCAGAGAGGCTTTTGGCTGGTCATGTTGAAACAAAGGTATGACAGGCCAACCCCATTTGAGTGCTAAAATTACCTAAAATAAAAGCAGCTTTTTAATCATCTGCATGATAATAGCATGGCAAACCATCCCAAACCTAAACCAACAGGGACACAAGACAAATAATCCATAAAATTCCCCAAAGCTGCCTTAAACGACTGTGACATGCTCTGACACCATCCCCCTGACACCAGCTGCCAAGTACTAGTGCTCGGGTTGCTGTCCCCAGGAAATGGCAGCAGACACTGCTCAGCTCACTTACAAACAGGGGGGAAAAAGAGAAAAAAAAAAGAAAAAAAAAAGACCCCCCAAAAAAGACAACTAAACCCCCCCCCAATAATGCGAATACTTTATTATCAATGAGTGACTGGTATTAGCTTTTTGTCTGGGTATTAATAATATTAAAAAAAAATACATCAAAATTAGGGCTTTCTCCTATTTTTGCTGTATAATTTTTTTCTTTTTTAAAAAAATCTGTATTGAAAGAATTATATAAGCCAAAGTGCATTTTCTGTTTTTTGTCCATATACACATTGCACCATACATAAATAATTACATTGTAAAAATGACTCCATAATTACAAGTATAATATATATTTTCATATAATATATAAAACTTTATATTAAATCTAGGTAGATGATATTTGGGATAGTCTGTGTCTTTTTTTGTCTTTTTTTTCTTGTTTTCCTTTCGCCGGAGGCAGCCCGTTATCGATTGTTACTGAGTAAAATCTCCAGCCAACAAGGACAGGACGTGATGAACTGTCTCGAGTAGCACGGCCCCCAGCCCTTGGCGAAGCTGATGCGCACACTGTTGGGGTCGTAGGGCCCGTCCGCGTAGTCCAGGTCCGTGGTGTGCTGCAGGAGGCAGGACTTCTCGTAGTCGAACACTTTGATGGAGTAGCCAGGCATCACCTTGCGCACGATCAAAGTCCTACAGTTGGGGATGTCCAGTGTCGGGGAGTTGACGAAGATGGGGTGCTCGCTGCGGTTGTAGGCCCACACGCCATCCGGCTCTTTGCTCAGTAAAATCCCGTAGCCGATTTTACTTCGAGTCCTTCTCACAGTCTCGCTCCTGTTTTCCAGGTTTAGCTGTCCGAGGCAGAAGCCGTTTCCTTGAGGTAGGTCATAAAATATACTGACAGACTGTTCATACACTGTGTAGAGGCGGCCAACGCGAGTCCGGTGCTCCCAGTAGGCCACGTTGCACCAGTGGCTCCTTTTAACGGCATCTGGTGATGTGCTGGCATCTGCAGGGAAAAGCAGAGACATGGTCAGGGCTGGAGAAAAGGACGTATGGTCAACATGAAAACTCAGCTATTGTCCCCCACCAGCTCTAATCACACACAAATGAAACTTCCATTCAAACACTTATGGCAGATGTCACCAAGGAAGTCGACACAAGGCCAATGACCCCAACTGCTGAGGATCTCCAGTCCTCCTTCGTGCTCGCATGGGGACAATCACCTCACTGGTCCCACCACAGACCCAGGGACTAGCTGATCCTCATGCCCAAGGTGACCACCTCCGAGCACCAAGGGCATATGGGGCCGTTGTGTGTCACACAGCAGCACCCACGTCACTGCTTCAACGCAAGAAGACACATGGTCTCAAAGGAAGGGCCAAGCATCACCCTGTCACACTGTTCACGCTGATGGAGATACGCAGACTTCGTCATCATAACCTGCAGGATCAGCTACCGGTTCATCAACCCAACAGACATCTGAAGAGCCAGGTGACTTTGCCTGCACCCTGATTTTCAAAGGCAACCACCCACTGAGCTGAAGCAGAAGGGAGGTCCACAAGCCGCTCACACAGAAGAGCTGACAGCATCTCAGCTATGTACAGTCCTTTGACGGGGACTCAGATATTCCCCTGGGGAACACGCAACCTGAGAAGATGCTTCGTGCCACCTCGGGAGTGTTCTCTGCAAACTGCACACGTTCTCATTAAAACCTCGGATCCTCCTCAAGAACAACAAGGGGCTTTTCTTTCCGGGAATGACGTTCAGGGAGGGATACGGACAGCCAGGAGCCCTTTTCGAGCTCCCTGGTGTATTTCCGATGCCTCGAGATGGAGCACAGGAACTCATAGCTAGGCTGCTTTTGCAGGTGGCATCCACAGCTCTACCAAGCAGCAGAACCCTCCAACTTCAGCATCATCACGTCCCGCTTCTCCTCACCACAAACGCTGCGGGTTTTGTATGTTTTTGTCCCAGAGACTAGAAGGGCTGTGGCCTTTGGGGCAGGCGCTCGCACACCCAACCCAAACATGTCACGGCCTGACCCCAGCAGGGCTCTGGTGCCCTGTCACATCCTCCGTGGGCAGCTTTCCTGCCACGCAGCCAGGAACGGACCCGGCAGTGCAAGGAAAACAGCAGCTCCATGGCAAACACGGCACGCTCCCTGCATGCCCATAGCATGCTAGCAGCAAGTGCCCTCCTGCCTGCTTGGTAGGAAACCCTTTGCTTTTGCACTGATGCTAACCCGTTTTAGTTTAGTTTTGCACGTTAGCAAAGACACTTGTCTTCTGCAGCTGCAGCTCCTGCATGCACACAAAAATAAAGTGAATTTAAAATCTGTTTCTAACTAGATCACAGCCCGAACAAGACATCCCAGCTCACATCCAGCCACAATTCCTCGTAAGCCCTGAACTGCTGCATCCACCTGGGGTCTGTCCATGCGCAAGCAGAGGCTGCTCCAAGTTCACTGCCCAACCTTGGGGAGGAAGCGCAAGTTCCTGTTCAACTAAGAAAATTATTCTAAGGAAGCCCCATCCTGCGCAGTCACATGAGAGCATTTGCTGAGATGCTGCACCCTGAACCTCGTGGGATTTGGGTGCTAAAGCAACAAGTCAACCTCAGCTCACCCAAATCTGACCCATCGCCCTCCTAGAGGGCTGGGGACAGCTCAGGGAGTCCCCTAAACCAAGTTCATCCCAATGCTACTCACTGCTAGCAACAAAACGAACCAGCAAACGTAAAGATTTGTCTGCCCTTCTTGCTCTCTGACCAATAACCTATACGTTCTCTGCCATCTCTAAGGCATCATCTGCCCCTGCATGACAAGGAGGTAGAGGAGCAACACGGCTTGCCATGACTTCATCCGCAATTGCGGGATGGGTTTGTTGTATCCGTGATCTTCCAGCGCTGCCCACTGGGCTCAACTCTTCCCAAAGTCCGTCATGACGCCTTGCGAAGCATCAGTCATGGGAACCCCATGTCTTAGGGGAAGAAGAGAAGAAGACTCAAATTCAATTTTGAGTTAGACTAAATAAGCAGAAAAAGTCCGTCATGACGCCTTGCGAAGCACCAGTCATGGGAACCCATTTTAGGGGAGGAAGAGGAGGAAGAGAAGAAGATTTAGGGGAAGAAGAGAAGAAGATTCAAATTTAATTTTGAATTAGACTAAATAAGCAGATGAGTCCCAATAGGACATATTGAGATCTCCACCAAGAAGAGAAACTCCAAGGAACCGGGGGACAGAAAGTTTCAGAACCTCTTTACGGGACTTCTGCAGGGTCTGCAGAAACCGTGAACCCAGCTGACGGGATCAACACAAAACCGACCCAAACAAAGTCCTAACTGAACATGCAATGCACATTTTAAACGGGTATTCACCACAATTCATTGCAAATGAATGCCCCCAGAAGAGTAAAATGCAAGCAGGAGGAGAAGGGCACCCCAAGAGGTGCCACCACCAATGATGCCATGCCAATTTCCAGGATCTGGGCTGGTTTTGAATTAAAAAATGACCTATCTGCTGAAAGCAATGCAGGCTTCTGCCAGGAAGACATGATCAGTCATGGTTGGACACTCCATGAAGGTGACTTCCATGCAATTTATAGATTGGGCATGCTCACAGCAGCCAAGAGCTTCTCTCCACCCCACTCCTGGCTCAGGACATGGACAAAGGATGCTTCAAAAACTCTGAGAAAGCAACCTCCCAAAAAGGGAGCAAAACGCTCCAGAAGACGACAGCTCGGAGGCCGGTGGGGAAAGGGCGATGGGGAATCTGAAGCAGGATGTATTGGGAAGGCCTCCCATGTTGCTACGCAGAGCATGAGCTTTGAGATCGCTCACGATGTGACAGCACCGGGTGCCAGCAAAGTTCAAAGCGGTTCATTAAGAAAGAAAAGTGTGTTTTCCCAAACAAAACCCAGCGCAGGCCCAGCCCGCCGATTGATGTTGTATTTAAAAGCAGGCTGGGCACCATGGGCAGATCACAAAAGGCACCAGATGAAAGCAGCTCTGATTCACGCTCGGCATCACCCGCGCGGCTCCGGAGCCTGCTGCTGCATGGGAAACCTTGTTCCGCTCGTGAAATCCCATGACGGAGCCCGCACAACACGGGAAAACAAATCCCTGCCCTGGCAGGGACGTGAACGCACATGTGGGCACCTAGAAAGTCTCAAGCGGCTGCTAATGAGATGAAGGGGGGTTTTCTAGAGCATCCCCATGACTTCTTCCAACTTTTCCTGTAGCATCACGGGCAACACAACCTGCTCTGACTGTGCAGCTCAGCCACCTCCTTCATGCAACAGCAAAGAGACCACAGCCTTTCAACTTCATTCCACTATTAGACAGATGCGCACTCTTTTTCCTTATTTTTCTGGCCCTAGGGCAGGACAGAAACGTGCTTATCCTACCAAACACACAAGCGCACGGCTTAGATGCATAAATGGGTCACTATGAACAAGCCACTAAGCACGGTCCAGATACAGCCCAAAGCACATGCACGTACCCCCTCAAATCCCTTAACGGTTCACCAGGGAGCCGTGAGTTGAAATAATCCCCGATTAATGCCCTTAGAAACAAGCTGCAGGGCAAGGAAGAGGTTAAAACTTTGCACAGCAGAAATGGAATTTTTATGGCCCTGCAAAGGAAAAAAAAAATTAATCGTCAATCTGCCCCAGCAAAGCTCACAATCGTTCTCATTAAGCCAATATATTTAAAATACCTCAGCCCTACAAGCTGCAGCTGGAAGGCATCGCTCGGGCCCCCCTGGTCCTCCGCTCCGAGCAGGCATGAGCTGTTTTTCCGAGCTGCAGAGAATCCAACCTGGGCTCTTTTGAGTTAAAATGTCACCACCAACAACTTGTTGTTGTAGTAGTTTAGTAGCCAACTAAAGAAGGAACTTCTCAGTGACACTGGCATCCCGGACACTGGCATCCCTGCTCCAAGCTGCCATTTCCTTATTCTAGGAAAATACCCCCAAACCGCGGAGCGGGTGGATGTGAGGGAAGGACGAGGCGCATTCCCAAGCCTTTGCACTACTTAACCAGGAAAATGGAAGCAAAGACATATCCTAATGCAGTCCCCCACAAGATCTTAGTGGAAACGATCCTGGATCCCGCAGCCGTTGGCTGGCTCCTGATGGATTCCTAGAGGATCCAGCCTGGCCAAACCCCCTGGTTTAAAACCACGGATGTCTTCCAACATCATGGGTGTCACTGCAGGTGAAGGTGGCAGCGCCTCCATCCCAGCCCAGCTCCCACCGTTTTCCTTCCACCTGATGCTGTGGGAAAACTGAGGGCCAGTTCGGTTCACTCATCCGGCGGAAAACAAATCCATAGAAAACACATCTGGAAAACCCTTTGCTGCGCAGGTTCCCCTCCTCTTCCTCCTCAGCTCCTCCAGGAGCTGACTGAATGCGTAAACCCAGGAGACGATTAACTCAGGAGAACACTTGCGCTGGGTTAATTAATTTAATTAGCTCCGAAAAGGGCCTGATGGGCAGCGGAGCCGATGCGAGGAGCCGGGAGGGACGCCGGTGGAGTCGGCGCGTGGAGAGGACCGGGGGGAAAGGGGGACATTTCCATGGCAGCCTGGGAAACAAAGGGAACACGGGGCAGGCAATGCCAAGAATTCCAATGGGAACGACCTTCTCGGCAGAATGGAAACCGCTCCGCAAAATCATCGGCTCGTGCTGATTTCTTTTTTCTATGTCCTTCAAATAAAAACACGCATCAGGGGAAACTTGGTCATGGCATCTGCAGGACATCACTGTCCAGTTTTGGTAACCGACCCTGGGTAAGTCCAACAGCACCTTCAGCTCTGGAATGGGACAAGGAATAGGAGTGAAAAAGCCTTTTTCCCCCCATTTTGTGGAGGAGAACTCTGAAGTTTCCCAGTCCTCCAAACAGGCACATCCTCAATCCCTTTTTATTCCTAGCGCTCGAAAGCAACGCCAAGAATCCGGGAGAAAACACCCAATAAATCACTCGACTGCAGATTTCCCGTTTAGCCCCA